TGGGATGGACCGGGGTGAGCCATTATACAAGCAAATATCAAGACTGTGGGTGGGCCATCTCAGACTGTCTCAGAATTTGCTGGCATGTGCAAGACCTGGGAATGAAAGTGGGTCTGGTAAGGGAACTTCAGGAACTCCCCTGCTGGGCTTCTGCTTCTACAGTATGAGAGCTGGGACTCATGGTGGGATTATAGGCAGGGTGGTGGCACCCATTGGCCAGCATTTGCACCAAGTCTTGAAGTAAGCCAGGCTGGATGAAGCTGCACTTGCTGGCGTGAGAGAGAGAAACAGAATTAATGTAGGCTCCCAAGACTACTCTGGAGTACCAGCCAGCAAGTGCTTGGACTGGCTGCAAGTCATGAAGGGACAGACTGCAATACTCTCTGGCACAAAATCCAGGGCTGGAAATAGGTCTGGTTGTGGAAGTGTGACCACTACTCCTCTGGGCTTCTGTTCCCACTGGTGAGCATGAAAGCCAGTGTGGGGACAGGTCAGGGTGGTCAAGGCAGCGGCATCCATCGACAAGCATGTCAACCAAATTGTGCTGGGTTAGACTGAGCTAAGCTGCAGATCTCATAAGTGTACAGAAAAGCCAGCTGGGATGTAGAATGCATTGGACTAGGCCACAGCACATGCCAGTGTACACAAAATCTAGGACTGGGTGCAGACCTGGTGGGTATTATTGCGGGGCTGCTCTGATCAGTCTTCAGTATACACCATTGTGTGTGAAGACCAGGAATGTGATGGGCTGGGTTGGGTCAGGATGCAGTACCTGGTGGTTTACACAATGTAGCTGCGAGCAGAATTGACTAGGCAGCTATATCCACCAGTATACCCATCAGCTGCTGCCAGTAATAGACAACATCCAACCCTGCGCTAGTTGGTACACATAAGAGTTAAGCATCGGCACACCCTAGATAAGGTTTCTTGGGAGACTTCGCAACTAGATAGCTAGGTTCAAATCCTGCTCACAGGGAAAATCACAAGCTATGTCATCCTGTCTTCAAGATTATGTACCAGGACTGTGCCTCCTCAGATGCTAATGCTTATGCAGCAAAAAACATGCCGAGATGCACGGGGGGGGGGGTGGTGCATGACAGCTAGCTCATCAAAACAAAGAGAGGATGTCAAATGTCTCATCAAGGATGAAAGTGAAACAGTTGGGACAACTGTCCTGGCCACAAGTTACAGCAAGTGCCTGGGTCTGTGGATGAACACTGAGGTGGAGTTGTTCAACTGACAGGCCTTGGAAATATTTTCTCAACCCTCGTGCACTGAAGCTAATGACATCTCAGAACTATGAAAGCAACTTAAGTAACGCCCATGGAACATTCTTCCTCACATCAGGGTCTCTAAGGCATCATCAAATGACTGTCCCCCAACAGTGGTTGATAAGCTAAGACCCACTATGTCTGTGTCTCTCTCTCCTCTCCCTCTCTCTCTCTCTTTATTTCTCTATCTCCAAGTTGATTCCTCTGTAACCCCTTCAAATAAATATTAGAAGAAGGCCGAGGATGACAAATATGTTCCTCCAGAGTCATGGGACAAGATCATTGGTGAAAGATGACAGAGATTTTTAGACTGGTGCTCAAGGTTTATGCTGCCTTATTTTCCATAGAAAGCGGTGTGTGATCCGTTTTTCATGATTTTTTTTTTTTTGATGACTAGGGAAAGTTGTAATAACATCACAATTGAAAATGCTCGTGTTTTCTATGATTGCTAAAGGCCACACAAGGAAAGTTAAAGCTGTGTGATAATATTTATGTTGTTTGGAGTTTGGGGGGCAGGAAGTAGCTGAAGCAGGGCAATGAACAATTCAAACCATTCAAAATCAGTAGGTTTATATATGCAGTAAAAATCTGTTACTTCAGAGATATTTCTTGAAGAAACTGAATATGTAGCTGGTAGACCACATAGTATAAAATATAGTCCTCATGTTACCCATCGCAGATTCTTTGGTTCATGTATAAATAGAAATTAACAAGAGACCAGCATAAAAACTAGACAAGGTTTAGCAAGGTTTCTGCCCAAACATGAGAGGCAGTGTTGAAAGATCTTCTCTAACGTTTTCATCAAGGGAACCTGCACAGGGCTCATCAGAACTCATCATGATTCCCTCTCAGTACTGAACAATTGTGCTTGTTCCTGGCTAGGTGTTCTGAGCAGGGTTTGTTGAAATTGCTTTCTTCTTTTTGTACATGACAAATTCAAAACTGCATTTTGTGCTTCCTGCCATCACAGATATGTGATTGTGTGTGTGAATACCAGTTGCAGAAATCCTTAATAGATCTCCAATGGCGCTGTCATGGTTTGTGGTGCTGCTGGCTACGTGTTCTTGTTTCATATTGCTTTTTAGAGCTCAAGAGGAAGGCTATTGAGATGTGTTCCTATTCTTTGGCAAATTACCAAATAGACAAACATCTTTAGGAATTTTCCACATGTGTTTCCTTCTTTAATACATTTAATAAATTCTCAATTCATGATATTTTCTTAATCTATGAGTGAAGAGTAATGAAACTTGTATCCCTAATGAATACGTGGATATTGCATGTATGCTTTTAAATCTTGGAATTTTATTGCAGTTATCCAAGAACACATTCTTTCTGCAACATATCACAATTTAACGGGACGTTGGCTATATTATCATCTTACATGAATTCTATCCAACGTGAAGGCATATTTCTTAACTGTTCCCTGTGCTCATTTCATGAATATCCTACACCTGTATAAAGATCCAGAGTGATACAGAAATAATGATTCTTGTTGTTGTTGCTGCTATTCTGGACTTCAATGATGAATTGCTTCTCAACATTGTGGGGTCATTCCTTAGCAGGAAACTAGATTTCCAACTTTAACTACCATAGTAAACTATTTTCTTATAAATTAGATATGCATTTTTACAGAATCAGCATAGATATCACATACATTTGAGACCATGAATAGCATCTAAAGGATTAAATACTTTCGTCCTTAATTATTCTCTTTAGTGAAATAACGGAATTTATTGCATAATTGTATTTTGGCTTTTTTGAATTCTGGTTGATAGGTTTTCTTTTTCCCTATGGCATGGGAATATGTAGAAAACAGAAAACAGCTATTACTTGAAGTATTAATTATTATTAATTATTTTAATTATATTGACAAATTTGAGGTTCTGAGTATAGAATTCTATCTTCAAGATTTTGGTGTAGTTCACCAAGTTGATATATTGTGCATAAGCAATATTCAATATTTATATTTTCTATAAATTATAGATGCAAAGGAGGCATTTAAAATGACCGGAAAACTGCCTTTTGCTCTGTATAGCTACTGGGATACAAATCATTAAGGGAGACATTTTCGTTAAATGTCACAAAACAAAAATAAAGAAATGTGTAATTAGGCCCGGCGCCGTGGCGCAAGCGGTTAAAGGTCCTCGCCTTGCACTCCCGGGATCCCATGTGGACGCGGGTTCTAGTCCCGGCGGCCCCGCTTCCCTTCCAGCTCCCTGCCTGTGGCCTGGGAAAGCAGCTGAGATGGCCCAAAGCTTTGGGAGCCTGCACCCGCGTGGGAGACCCTGAAGAGGCTCCTGGCTTTGGATCTGCATAGCATCGACCGTTGCGCTCACTTGGGCAGTGAATCATCAGACGGAAGATCTTCCTCTCTGTCTCTCCTCTCCAATATATCCTCCTTTCCAATAAAAAAATAATAAAAATAAATCTTTAAAAAAAAAAGAAATGTGTAATTGAATGTTTTTTGAAGTTTGCATTTTTCTTTTTCTTTTTTTTTGTATAAATCATATGTCATACATTAATATCACCCCTAAATTATCATGAAAATGATGGATAATATTATTGTTAATAATTAAGAATCGTTATAATTAGATATATATGAATTAAATACATGTGTCACTGTTTTGTATTAAGATTTCCAATATGTCTTCTTAATTTAGAAACGCCACAGAATACTTTGACTGAAAGACAAATTGCTATTCTGAAGATATAAAGTTGATTTATGTAGGAAACATGATCATTCTATCTGTGTTGACTTCTAGAGTTGTTTAAGAATAGGGATTCAAGATACCATTTTTTAAAACAAGAAAGAAAACACATTTATGAACATTTCTTAAAACGTTATTATTTTCTTTCAGATGTCTTCATTCTGGTGTTTGACATGTTGTCAAATATCCTTGCCTCTATAGCATAGCTTCTTTTGCTGGGAAAAGCTTTAATTAAAAAACAAAATGTTGTATAATAAAATAAACCAGATACAAAACCTTGTCTTGTATTTACAGATAAATTTTAATGGAATATTTCATGGTCTAACACAAATATCAGACCCAATGACACTAATTCTTGTACAGCCTTTGGCTTACCCTGTATAACAAAATTTGTTATTTAAAGGTAGACTATAAAATACCTTATGGTACGTGATCTATCTGAGACACAAAGAAAAACCTCCATAAATTTAAAAGCTTACCTCAAATTCTTACTGACGTAAACTTAGGCTGGATATGTTATTAATTACATTACCTTAAATAATTGAAATATAAATTAGAGTGTAAAATTTGTAAAAAAAAAATATGTTTGGTTATTTTTGCTTTAGCTCCTAATCAACAATAGTAAACATGTAAATGTGAAGATAAAATTACTTTTACAAAGTTTTGAAATTTTGGCGATCTCAAGCAAATTTATCTAAATCAGCAACACTGTTTTTACTCTTAGTCATCATTTTACAAGGTTCATGTATTTCAAGGAGTAATGATCAAAAGTTGTACAGATAAAACAACATTTATTTTACTTCTTAAATTTTAAAACGGTCATTTCAAAGTCTATAAAAATGGGTATCATTGAAGAAATCTGAAATGATAGATAATGTGTTTATAAAAAGGTGGTTTAAACAATGTGCTTGGCATGAAGAACTCCATCTTTTATAAGCTGTCACTGGGAAAAAGAAAGTTCCATCTTTCAAAATCTTTTCAGGCTTAAGAAAACGTGCTAAATGAATAGACAATTCAGTAATGTCCACCGGATAACTAAAATTCAAATTTTATTTTTTCATATTTCTCAGACAAAAAAATTCTGACAAGACTTTACTGAAAAATGAAGTGCAAATGGGAACCCTGTAAGAATGTTTATAAGAGTTGTACATGACATATTTTAAGCGTCACTAAGTACACATTGAATACTTTGTAAGTATATAGGCATATCAACATGCAAGTGTCATGTACCTAATATTACAATATGCATTTTGTCTTTTGAAAATGTTAATGACAAGAGTAGATTCAACAATTGTGTTAATCTATTATTCTGTGCAATATAGTTCATTTTGTTGGATACTCCCAGCACAGAATTTTTTTATGCTGTCATAAATATACCCTTCCAAAAGTTATGAATGCCATTTCATACTAATAGAACGTTTTATTTTTTCAACTACATTATCGGGAACACCTAAATATTTGGGTAACAGTTTCAGAGATAAGTCTTTAATTTTTTTGAACATGGCAGACTTGTTCCAATATTGGTTAAGTTGAGATGTATATGATAAAAATGGAGCTTTCTTGAGGAAATATCTTTGAATGAAAAATTAAACAACCAATTCATAAATATTGATGTGAACAGAATGTGAAGAAAATAGGTCAGCAACACCAACTTCATAAATCCTTGGGTTACTACTGAACTGCGTCATCGAATCTACAATAAGTACAGCAGGTACAGTTAAATAAAATTGTAAAAAGATTAAAATTGTATACATTCATAAGGAGAAATAGTACTAGATTTGAAAATGTTTCTAGGTTATTTTTCTTTCTACTTATGCAATTCAATCAATACATTAGAAACACAGAGAAAAGCAAAAAAGAGAAAGATATAACAATTCTGTTTACATTTCATACTTTTAACCAATCAGTGACCACTGCTTTCAACCATCAATATTTTATTGCGTATGACTTTCACTACCAGCAAATATAAAGAGAAAGTATCTAGTAGCATCATGTACAAGGAAAAGTCTCTAATGAAAGAAAGCATTTGAGGTTTGACAGTACTGTGTGTACGTGTAATGTTGCATTTCATACTGCACTTAAAAGTCCATGTAGAAATCACTGCTGATTTGACCCTGGATGTGGGAAAAGTGCTTAAGTGCTGAGCCCTGGTAGATTTTTCTTTTGCCCCTGCAATCTTAAATTCTGTTTTAGAGTTTCTTTTTTTGAAATACACAGTATATATTTCAGAGGGGAAAATAGAGGGTTTTTTTCTTTACATTTTTTTTTTTCACATTTGGGCCCATTCTCTCCAAAAAATCATATATTTCATATATATACATATATATATGAAAAAAATGGAAACAAGTTTAACAAATATTACTTGATCCTAAATACATGACATACAAATTTCTTTAAGAATATTTTATAGAATCACTGTCATAATTTGAAATAATCATGTATCATTTTTTTCCTAGAGGAAAATACGTTCATAAAAGATCATTTTCTTTTAAGATAATGAAATCGCGTCATGGAATTATTCATATCATTCCATATAAAATAAGTGGCCAAGTGTGGCAATACTTTACACTACTGGGGGGTTATTTGTTAATAAAGTTTTGAAACCCTACTTTTTATGTAGATAATTATTCTTGGGAAAATAAATTATGTATATGATTATTATTTAAAACCATTAATTTATAAGACATGCTTTATATTTTTAAAATTAAGCAAAATGTCGGATTGGATTGCAAAGTATTGCCATTTAATTTTTAAAATACAATTATATTGCAGTGAGATATGAAATTGGCATTAGAGGAACTTTGCTTATCACATAACTGTATTTTGCCTATAGGAAAAACAAATGATAGAAAAGGTAAACAAATGAAGATCTATACACCACAGAACACACTACGCGAAGTTGGCTATTGAGATCTCCCAGGGGGTAGGGAGTGTCCCAAAAGAATGCATCCTGGGACATCATGTAAGAAGTCACGTCCTCTATTTATACTGAAGTATCATAGCCCATGTTAAAAGTGAGAGGTAGAAGAATTATTGTAAGTATGCATGGCAGAGAACTTACCAGCTATATCCAAAACTATTGCATTCAATATTAATAATCTCAGTACACAAAAATGCTGATGATTTTAGAACCCATTTTATAGTTTGTCCCCTTTAACTCTTTATTAACTTCCTACTTTCAATCCATTGCCTTTGGAAGGGTATAAGTGCAAAGGGCATGTTTGGGATAGAAAGGAGCTAGAGGAAAAAAAAAAAATAACAATGAAAAAAAAAGAAGATTTAAAATAATTACTATTTCAAATACAGTGACTTTAACTATGTTAAACCCTAAGTTATATGACTGAATAATTTTTTATTTCCAGTAAAACTACTGCAATTTACCAAAACTCATGTAAGGAATGCTTAAGAATTTCAAATTCAGTTAGGTATAAATCAAAATTTGAAACTCAGTTTTTTTTTCTCTGCTGCAATACTAAAGCCCAAAGAAAAAAATTCAATTGTTACATTAATGCTTAAAAAAACTTGCAGAGTCACTTATACTTTAGTTAATGCTTTAGTTTATAAGAGTTGAAGATTAGAAATATCTTGGATCTTGTTGAATAATTCCTTAAAAATCCCTTCGCCTTTAGTGCCCAGCAATAGAATTGCAGGCATTGCACTGAGTATATTGTAATATTGCCAGTGTATATTTCAAAACAAATTATATTATCTACACTAAGATTTCCTCTTTCCCAATATTCAAAATGCATATTATAATTACATGGGTTTCCAACATCCAAACACAGCAAGTACAAGATACTTACATGTACATACACTGTAGTTACCTATATTTTGCATAGTTTTTAGTGTGTACTTTGTGCCACTTAATCAAAAGCATTACTGGTCACTAATTTTCATCAGGTGTTTATAGTTGTTATTATTAGTTTTATTTTAGCTGCAACTGCCAGTTAATTATTTTGTTTCTGTTTTTGTTTCTGTTTTAATTCATTATAGATTACCATTTGCAAAAAAATAATCCTGGGCATTTTTAAGAGACTCTAAAAATTTAAGAATATTATGGGAAAGCTGTAGTAAGATAGATTTTATATTTCTCCACAATTAACAACGTTACATGATATTTTGTATTTGTCACTTATTAAATTATTATTATGTCGTAAGTAAAGGTAAAACCTTGTAAATGTTCTGCTTGGTAACACTTTGCAATAAGTGGCACTAAATCACACGATAACTGCTATGTTACATGGAAGAGCCATCACTGTCAAACAGCTGCTGTACATGTGCCGATGTGGAATCTCAAGGCTGTTAACAATCATGAGTACATAATTACAAGTGAGCCTGTCCTTTAATTGAGATATTTATATTTTTACAAAGAAATAAAATAAATGAGGTGTCAGTGTCTTTGTCATATTTAGGAAAGTTAGTTTTCTTTTTTTCTATTCAAGATTTTGACTGTGGAGTTTCAATGGAAGATTGAGCATTGTGAACAAAATGAGATCATCCAGTTTCTAGAATATACTCCAATATCAGGTTCATTTAAACTGCTTCTTGGATTTTCAGATAAAAGAAAACAAGTTGAAATCTATTTCTCTCGCTGTTTCTTCTCTGTGTCTCTTTCTTTTATAAACACACACACACAAACACGCACACACACACACACACACCATCAATATTCAGCTCATGGTCTGCACCTTTACTCTTGCACTCTCAAACTTTGCTTTTTCTTCTTAAGATTTTATCAGCATTCTGTCTAGGCCATTCAAAAATGATAGAAGTAAAGAATGGTGTACAGATTTTTTTTTGATGAAGGAAAATTAAATTATACTGTAAACAGTATTCTGAAAGAGGATATAGTTACTTTAAGTCAAGAATAATGCTCCATATTCTACTGGGGGCACATGTGTGTGTACACTCATTCTGCTGTGTTCCATAGCTCATTTGTCACTTACCAGAGACAGAAATTGGCTCTATGTGTATACACTTGCGTCCATGTGTATGTATTTGTGCACATGGTTCCCATTTATAAATATTCTCTTTTGCTTTTGATTTAGGGGGACAAATATGAGAAAATATTATAACATTAATTTTTTGGAACAATAAAAACAGTTTTCAGGAAAGGAAAATATTTTTCCACTGCTAATTTTTCCAGTCACAGAATATGATATGCAATTCAAATTAAACTCTATTTAATTGAGTCCACAACTCAATATACCAATTATTTTTTAAAGAATTGTGATGATATGTTTGTAGTACTCTGAAGGGTTAAATGAGATAAAATTCTGTAAATGCACTCAGTTTAGAATTTCTAATTTTATAGTGATTTTTTAAATGATTGAGTTATTTGAGCAACAATGTAGCGGTTGGAGCCAAGTAGAATATAGAAGAAATGATGAGAGATGTAAATACAGCATCATTGAAGAGTAGCAATTTTGTAAGTGCATCCTGAAATTAGGCTTTAAATAGTAATTGATGATGCAGTTTATGCAACTTACTTCTGTGATAAGAACCTTCCCCTTTTCACTAACAGGATGAGTTTTGCTTTGTGGAGTCTTTCTAAAGATTATGCATTGAAAGGTATGAACAGTTTATAAACCTATTCTAGTTTCAATGTGTCTAGTAGCACCTACCTGATTCTCTCAAACTACCATACAATATTAACATATTATTGCGTTTTTCCACAGATGGTATGGAGTGAACTGTAAAAACAAGCATGCAATCACATCAATGCAGACTTATTTTCTTAAAATGTCATACTGTATAAGATTTATTATGTTAACACTCAACCACATCATATTATTTATGTTCTGTATATTCTGAAAAAAAGTGCTGCTTGACTGACATCGTCCTTTTTCTTTTGTGAGAAATTCACAACAGAAATTCTTCAACAGTCAAAAGAAACAATATATAAATTCTAACATTGTCCTTAAAAGATTTATGCTTTCGTGATAAATAATCTAAGGTATGGCACCTTGTCTTTCATTAGATATTAATACACGATGTTGTACTCAACCATTCTCAGTCCCCTCAAAGTAATTCCAAGTTATTATTTTTAAAACCCTAAGCCATCATGCTGTCAGACATCACAAGTGTAACTACCATATTTTCATGTTTGTTTTCCTCTTAAAGGTGCAACACTTATAAATGGGAAAATAATTGCTTTAATCTAGCTGGACTTTTATACTTTAGCATGTAATAAATTTAATGATAACTAATCTAGCAATCTTTTAATTTACTAGAACAATTGATAAGATTTTAGATCGACTCTGTGTCATGTTTAAGAATACAGTATTTCTTAATGGTTAAATACATTAAAATTTTAAAATAATCCAGAGAAAAAGACTTTCCCTTGGAGTTACAAGCATGGCAGGTATTCTCTATCACTCACTATTTCAGAAATTTGTACCTCACAAAATGCATAGACAGTAATTTAATATAAAGAATTAGTTCATTTGTACAGAAAACATATCTTCAACACTTCTTTTTGGCAAACCAAAATGAGTAAGCAGCTCTGGAACTGCCAAATTAAAATCTGTAAATTTTTTAGCAAACTAAGAGTTTATTTTCGTTATTATTCAACTGTGGTTGTAATTTAAAACCTGAGGCTGTGCACTGGTTGTTAGCTTAAAATTACCTTTCCTTAGAACATTGTGCTTCCATTGTGTAACAAATAAAAATCAACAGGAACTAGAAAAATCTGTTGTTGAACAGTGCTAGGACATACAGACAAAAATACTAATACATGTTATCTACTTATAATATTGGTTAAGTAATATTTAAAGGGATATAATGGAAGTTAGAAAACGCTTACTTATGACTGAAGTACCTACAGCCAAAAAAGTTAAATATGTATCAAATAATGTTTAATCAGATTTATTATATGCACTATATACAGATACTAAAATGTCTCAAAATTGTGCCCTATGGATAGTTTAGTTGTGTTTAGGCAAGTGAGTTCTTATGGAACAAATAAATTATAAAATCAAATCAGAGAATGAATGAAATCTTTGTGATTCCCAAAGCAGTAAAGTATTTGGAACAATTTATTGGTAAATGAAGCTACAACCTAATGGTGGGATCTATAGTTATATAAGATATCATGTCATGATTGCAGTCCACACACATGGCTCCTGTATCAAATACTAATTTTTTAAATAGCAAACGATACAGTTTTACCAGTATAATCTCAAACATTACAGAAACTACACTACAGTATTTTCAGTTTGTGTTTCTAGGGCATATGTTTCCAAAACATGTTGTATTTGAAGATAGACATGTAGAAAACATTGTTTGTAAACCTCTAGTCTTCGATTAAATTTAAGCACATTAGGTCTTCACCTAATCCTGTTACCTGTGAAAGCTGCACAATGGCAAATCAATAATGTCTATGACTGAAAGGGGAAGACAAAAATCTGCATACATTTTTCCAAAGAATCAAAACAACTCAATATCATGATCCAAGGAGATGATTAACATTGTTAAGGCTGTATATTCAAGCACTGTATGTTAAATGAGCAATGGGGTGAAATTTAGGGAGTAAGAAATGTCCCGCATTAGGGATGGTACAGTAATTAAAGGATGATGCTTTCGACAGCTGATTGTTGGTGTAACACTGGCTACTGGGAGCAGTACAGCATGAAAGTTAATAAAAGTAGCAGAAGATGGTAGAAATGAATTCTGAAAGATGAGAGCCAGTTTTCTCCAGCAGGTAGCCTGGGCCGGAAAACTCAGAATCGTTGCCTGCATTTAAATGAAATATTCTTTTTTCTCTTCGGCATTGACTTGGCTGCCTTCCGCATTGATAATGGCTGTGTCAGCATCTGGGGCATCTTCAGCTCCTTTTGCTTCGTTTGTTAAGTAGGTTCCTGTGGATACAGGAAGGAGGCTATGTGAGATTTGAAACACTACTAAAATAATCATCATTAAAGTTGCAGTAATTTAGGGAGGTAAGCATGCTAGAATTATATTTTTTGCTGTTGTTGTGGTACATTCTGAGACATAATAAGGAAAATAACCTGTACATCTAAGTCTGTATCCTTTATTTACTTATTTGCTTATTTATTTATTTATTTATTTACTTACTTAATTACTTATAGTGTGTATGTTGGCAATGAACCTGTGGTTGAGTTACCAAGAGATAAGAGCCAAACAAGAATGGATAAATTTTAACTTCCTAGACTAGGGCTAACCAAAAGCTTCAGCTGTAGGAATTAGTTTCACTTGCTAATACAGAGGTAATGATTCTATCATAACTGTAACCATTCATTTTGATAATCATTTATTTCTTAAACTTCTGTTTTAAATATTTCAAATTATACAAAAAATTGTAGAGTTCAATGAGTATCCACTGACAATTATTTTTATTATTGCCATATTTGCTTCATACGTAAATATTATATGTATGGTGTGAAGATTCATACTCTTATTATCACATGTGAGAGTCATAACAAAAATGACTAAAGGAGGAAGGGACTTATTGTTATCTAAAAAGTATGATTCAATGAAAATAGCATTTACTAATATCTTTATTCTAAGCAAAATGACACAAACCTATTTCCTCTTTATAATGTATGAGTACCAACATTTACATATGACAGAAAGGAGATAGTTGTGTCCATTTCTGAGTTATTTCTTGTAGCATCAATATCTCCAAATTTACATATGTATTTGTGGTCGAGTAATATTCCGATATACTATGTTTGGTATCTCCACATAACTATACAGATAAAAATACACACATTCACATACATCTGCATGAAATAACTTTTTGTAATGTTTGCCTAAATTAAGCATATTCTCAAAAAATACAACCTACCTTTATGTCTTGCCAGATATCGCCCAAGCAGAAATATGGAGCACAGTGTGACAAATACAACTACAGCCACTATTCCTCCTATAAGAGCATGGTCGGGACCAGTCTGGCCAGCCAGAGCATTGGGATCTGAGAAAAAGAGGAAAATGTTACACCAGTTAATAGCATATTTAGTCATGTCTTATGAAAACTTAGCACATTTCTGTTAAAATTACATTAATACATATTACAATCAATTATCCAGTTAGCATGTTCAAAAAGACACAACATACTGGGGGATTTAACATTTGACACACCAAAAACTATCACCACTGAACTTACATTTTAAATAAATGCTAGATAAACAAACAGATGTATCTCTTTTGCTGTATCTATATGAAATTGGGGGTATTATATATCTATGCATATAAAATAGATACATTATATTTTTAAGAAGAATTCTTTATTTGAAAAGCAAAATGTGAGAGCAAAGGACAGATAAAGGTACATCTCCCATCTGCTGGTTTGATGTAATGGCTGTAACAACCAGGGATGTGTCAGACCTAAGCCAGGAACCTCTAACCCTTTCCAGGTCTCCTGCATGGATGAGAGTGGTCCAAGCACTTGGATCATCTCCCTTGGCTTTCCCAGAGGCATTAGCAGGTGGGATGAAAGAAAGCAGAGCACCTGATCAAAATTGGCATTCCAGTATGGGATGCCAGTGTCACTAGAGGGCAAAACAATACCGGACATTTATGTTTGTTTGTTTTTAATATAATTTTTCAAATAAAATGATGAAATGTTATCTTTGAAAGTCTTAGTTGAAGATGCAACTTGAGAATTATAATGAGACAAAAATTATTGAATGGTTAAACACTTCAAGTATTTATCATAGAGAAAATAAGAGGTCTACCAAGGGGCCACTGAGGAACCAGTGTACTTAAAAAAGTGGTGGCGCAAGGGCTGGGATTACCACTGTGATGTTGATAGGAGGAAGAAGATGAATGCTGAGCACTGAACTTGTTGTTCTAGAGGATGCAATTTGGAAAATATAATTAAGAATATTTTCCAGTCTGCTTTTAGTGATGTCATAGAAAAGAAATCAATCTAGTAATTAATTTGTCATTTTCAAGCATATGTTCAAATATACAAATAGTGATCATACGAATGATCAAAGAACACGAAAATTTGGGGATCCAAAATTTGTAAGTTACCTTCTTACAGAATTCACGCAGAGAGATAAAATTGAAACTGAATAAAGCAAACCCATCTAGGCCTTGCCTTTTGACAAAAAAAAAAAATGTGATTAAATGTACTGCTACTTTCCAAAGTCCACTATTGCAGACAACTTCATGGTAATAGCCATCACTTAAAAGAAGAATCTATGGGGCCCAGAGTGGTGGCCTAGCAGCTCAAGTCCTCAACTTGAACACCCCAGGATCCCATATGGGTGCCAGTTCTAATCTCAGCAGCCCCGCTTCCCATCCAGCTCCCTGCTTGTGTCCTGGGAAAACAGTCGAGGACTGCCCAAAGCCTTGGGATCCTGCACCCATATGGGACAACTGGAAGAGGGCCTGGCTCCCTGCTTTGGATAGTCACAGTACCAGCCACTGTGGTCACTTGGGGAGTGAATCATCAGATGGAAGATATTTCTCTTTGTCTCTCCTTCTCGCTGTATATCCGACTTTGCAATTACAATAATGATACCTGAACCATCTAGTTTCTTGAGATAAATGCATCCATTACCAAACAGAAGGCCCTTTTAACATAGTCTTTCCTGGTCTCTTAATTTGAGTGGATCAGTAACTACTCTGTGTTACTCCTGATTTTATTTTCAAATAGGAGGATGCAAGAATCTCATGTGTTGGCTTTGCCACTATGCATTTTGGATGAGGTGCAGGAGGCAAGGATATTTGGTTTCAGTTACTTGTCATTGGGCAAACATAACTCAATTGGATGAAGATGTGCATTTCATGGGAACTCAGAATTTGAAACACGTACATTGACTTGATCGGGCTTCAGCTAATATCTTTGGACAGAGTATAGTGATAGCTTACACAAGGAAGAAAGGATGCTCACAGATTTGTTTACCCAAATTTTATATTGAGGCCAAGAATTCTAGATGATAAATGCATTTCCTTTGCTTTCAGTGTACAGAGCTAAGCATCTTCCAATTTCCTTTGCAGCTGCATGAAACCAGGATAATGACATTCTAGACGAATGTAACAATCTCCAATAATCCAGAGAAATACAAGTTAAAGATTCACACAAAAAAGAATGAAGTTACTGCTCACTGATTCTATCCCTGGAACAAAATTGTCAACACCATTGCCACTTGGAAAACCCATATCCCTCACTGGAGGGTCTAATTGGAGGGCTTGAGATCTCAATTTCTGTCCCAGCTTCCTGCTAATTTGCAATCTGGGAAATGGGTGATATGGCTTAAGTGTTTGGAACCCTCTCAACAGCCTGAGGGATCAACATGAAATTGAGGCTGCATGCCGTGTGCAAGCCCAGCATCTGCTGTTTTAAACATTTAAGGAGTGAGGACGCCATGGAAGATCTCTTTCTGCTTCCACCTCTGGGTCCATGTCTCTCTTTCTCTCTTGCACTTCCTTTCTCCCTCCCTTTTTTAATAAACTGAAAATTAAAATGTCATTAAATAAATACTTAAATTTAAACATTAGGGACAAACTGTCATCAACCATACCAGCTAATTTCACTTTACCTTTCTATTATAGTTTATACTTCTTACTTTCCTTTAAACTCTAGCTTAGCCTTAAATCTTAAAAGGACGTAGACAAAGACATCTGTCAAATTTCTGATTCTCTATTCCTATCCTTTGCTCTCATACCTTAGTACTGATTGAATACCCCATCACTTATTTTCACAGTCGATCATACACAGTATTCCAATTCTGAATAGTTTTGCAACTGAGCACTCTTTGGGTAAATTTAGAGGCCATCCCTGTTTGTCTATCTGTCATTTTCCTTAGTTACAAATTCTGAGGCATATATTAGTAGGATAAATAAAAACATAAGTATTTTGATAAATATTATCAAATTCCATTGAAGGATGATTAAGAAATTCATGTTTCATGACCTTATAGGAAACATTGATTTCCTTTTAGTCTATGAAGGAAACATGCTGTCGCTGTCCTGCAGCGATGCACTTGGTGCATGCAGGCAATAATAACACGCATGGACTACTGACTGATGATCAATAGCTAAAGTTTATTAGACTTTATAAACTGAGGGTCATACAGGATTAGGGTGGAGGTATTTAGCTCATCAACAAACCTGTCAAGTGTTTCTATGCTTTTGTTTGGAAGTCCTCGTATATTCCACCAAGTATTCTCATACACATACTTTCCACTCAACTGTTCTTACACAAATGATATTCCATCAGGTATGCAAAAGGTAGCCATTTGGTTGTTCTCATGCAAAGGATATCCAATCAGTACACAAAAGGCACCCATTCAGTTGTTTATCATACAAATATTTCCAATCAACTGTAATCCTGTGTGTGCTGACCTTCTAGGGTCACAATGTCCTCCTACAACATGCATTATGGAATGTTAAGAATCAAAAATTGTTCATTTCTAATGATGTGTTCTTGTTTTCATTTTCATTCTTTTTTGTTTGTTTGTTTTGTTTTCCATGTCATAGAATGCATTTCTAATATTTGTCAATTTTAGCTTTGGCAAACTTTTCTTTTCTAATCACCCAATATTTACTTTGCCCACAAATGTAAAGAACATCTCAGTTGCTAGTGTATTCCTGTCGATCTAAACGTTACACTCTCTTTCTCACTTAACATTTCATGAGCAATAACGACGACATCATCTTTGTGATCTTAGACATGTACCCATAATCTAAATGAACTACTACAATAGAATTTCAGATGTAGATTGGGAACCTACAATTTTTCCAGATATTAAAACCTTATGAAGTACCAAAAGTTGTTAGGTTATGATTTTCACATTCATTTCAGAAGAATTGGTAGGTATATTAATATGCTGTTTTAGGAAAATAATTGTACAATAGTTCCTGTTGTTTATTCATTCTTTTAGTCTATGAATGAGACACTTTAACTTTCAGACATTAGCTTGCCAACAAAATAAATAAGTGTACTATACCAGGATTCCTAAGATTTTTAGAAATAATTTTGAGAGAATATAATTTTTTTTAAAAGATAACATCATTGTCTCTGCTTTTATTTTGCTTCAGTAACTGCTGGATCAAAAGCCTCTCTTTCATTTCTACTTTTAGCAACCAAAACAAGCCAGGGAAGTTGCACCAGAACAATGTTGGGAAAATACATAATTTAAATGTCTCAATCTCAATGTGATTCTCCTAGGCAGTCTTTCTCTCATACACCTTTCATTGTCAAAACACTTGAGTAAATTGTTGACTCAGAAGATCATTATTATTAATACAAAATTGATAAATCATGAGACAATTTCCCTGAACCACTTCTGAAATAATTTTGAAAAGCTTTAAGAGTACTTATTGTAATGTGTAGCATGGTTCAGATGACTTATGTTTAAATACAAAAACTAGTTGAGGACATTGGCTGTGTTGCCATTTTTTACATCACTGCTTTCCCTTTTAACATGATGAGGATTCCAAAGTCCATCTGCACTAAATGACCTCCCTTTAGGCTGCTTCTTCATCTTTAAAATATTCATCCTTACCAGTGCATGCAAATTACAACAACAGTCATCAGTCAATTGTCCTTGAATAATTGTATTCATTATTTTCCTTGTATTAATTCATTTTCTATATTTTATCTCTCCTCAAATATTTAAGTCTAACTGAAGATAAAGGCTTGTTTTATACTTGTAATATAGCTGCAACATCAATTTTAACATTCCTTGGAAGCAAATAAATTGAATAACTTGTTGGATAAATTTAAATTCTTATGCTGAATTCTAGACAGAGATAGGAATTTTGTGTACCAATTTGCTGTGCTGATCGATAGATCATTTCCCTTATATGACGGTAAATTATATCAATGCAATTACCATTTAAACATTATAGAAATTAATACTAAGAAAAATGACTCATTCAGATTTATAGCTGGTTGAAGTTTTGAATGATTTAATTCCAACATGAAATTCGTATTTTTTAATGTTTATAAGGGCCAAC